GGGTTTGAATCTAATGATAGGCAGTACTCAAGACGAGGGGTCTGTACTATTGTCGATGTTAGTCGATCCGATCACTTATAACGTAACGTCACCTAAAAATTTCACATTTAATGAAGCTTTTGATACATTAAAGGTAATGTCTTCGGGTCTCAGACTTAGTAAACCGCTTAACGGCGAAGACGTCTCCCGAATGTATTTCACGGGTCTCTCCACTCATACACCCAAAGACTTATTGATCCGAGAAATTGGTATCGCTTTTGGAGATTATTGCATCACTTGTCCGACCATTCAGTTCGCAAAGAATGTCTTTTCAAGTAATAAAACCGGAACTAAAGTCTTTCAATACTATTATAACAGTAAAGTAGGAAAACCTAAGATATCCTGTTTGGGTAAATGGATGGGTGTCTGTCATGCAAGTGATATTATGCCAGCATTTGGTTTGCCATTCCTTCAGCCAAATGAATATTTAGATCGCGAGAGAGACATATCCTCACAAATGATGGACTCTTTTATTAGTTTTGCCAAAAATAGGTTTGTTTTATTAAATATAAATGTGATAAATGTGTAAAAATAAATGCACTATTGTATAACATTTAATGAATATTGCAGTAACCCTGGTACAATAGACGGCGCCCAATGGCCGCAATACTATTCAATGGGAGCCAATATAATAGCGCCGTATTATGAGTACACAAATGAACCGAAATCTGTCACTAATTTCAACATTGGATTAAAGATCGATGAATGCGATTATCTATGGAATCAATACAACCATTAAATATAAAATTATTTCTATAATGTTTTCATTAAATTTTAAAGCAAAGATTTTATTTATTATTTTGTTTATGTATTGTATTTGATTGAAATAAAGACCACAATTATAAATAACTAAATAACTTCTGTCTGTTATTACAGAAAATATACTTTCTTTGTTAATCACATTTTACAATTAGTTTAGTTGAGAGAAATCTTATTAATAATCGATTAAATATAAATGTGTGGAAACATATTTATAGTCAAATTATATAAATATATAATTTGTATAAATTACAGCATTTGCATAGAATACATATGAATATTTTTTAACCAAATAGATCTTAGGTGATTAATTTTATTCAGCTTTTAATCATTAATAATTATAATACAATATATTTGTAGTATAGATCAAATGTAAATATTTTGTGTTTTAATCAAATTATGATTCACTTAAGATTCTTTTGGTTAAAAAATATTCATATGTACTGTATACAATATAACGTTGTGTTTAATTTATGAAGGTAAATTATATTATATTTCTTATTAGGTCTTATATTCCTATTGAAAACATATCACAAATAATATTATGAGTTATTGTTAACCGTTAACTTTGAAATTATTCAATTAAAACTTAAATAAATAAAAACTCTTTATTAAAATTATTAAAACATTGTAAAAATTAAAATAAAAAACTAAATTGTTTTAATAATTAATCCCAGAAATCATACACTTATAACAACATACAATATATTTGTAGTATAGATCAAATGTAAATATTTTGTGTTTTAATCAAATTATAATTCACCTAAGATTCTTTTGGTTAAAAAATATTCATATGTATTGTATACAATATAACGTTGTGTTTAATTTATGAAGGTAAATTATATTATATTTCTTATTAGGTCTTATATTCCTATTGAAAACATATCACAAATAATATTATGAGTTATTGTTAACCGTTAACTTTGTATTAACTTGAGTTAATATATTAATATCAGTGGATTTTGAATAACTGTAGATTAAACTTAATTAGTATATTAGAACTTTTAATCAGTAGAAAATTAATCACATAATTATATTAACTTACAGTTTATGATAAAATTATAGTATTGTTATATGAATTGCACTGAAAAACACAAATAGCTATCCATTGAA